ATTTCCGACCCGGACAATTTTAGGGGTCTACAACCACCACTAAAAAAAGAACTCTTAGCCATTATGTTTGCTCTTGATAAGTTTAGATCATATTTGCTTGGTTCTAGAGTTATTGTTTATACTAACCATGCAGCTTTAAAGTACCTGCTAAAGAAGACTGACTCCAAGCCACGGTTGATTAGATGGATGCTTCTACTCCAGGATTTTTATTTGGAGATTCGTGATAGGAGTGGAGCACAAAATTTGGTGGCAGATCATCTAAGCAGAATAGAGCAAGCTGTTGACACCTTTCCTATCTGAGACGAGTTTCCTGATGAGCAGCTCTTGAATATCTCTATCTCTCACCTACCCCTTAGTTTGCTAATATTGTTAATTACTTGGTTGCTTCTATTTTTCCACCATTAGCCTCTATATCTCAGATTGATAAACTTAAAAGTGATGCTAAATATTATGTTTGGGATGATCCATTTTTGTGGAAATTATGTAGTGATCAAGTGATTAGGAGGTGCATTCTAGATCATGAGATTCAATCAGTCCTCAATTTTTGCCATGCTTTAGCAGTGGGTGGCCATCTTGGCTCCCAAAGAACAACAAGGAAGGTGCTTGACTCTGGATTTTGCTGGGCCACAATCTTCAAGGATGCGTGGAGGATTTGTAGCACATGTGAACAACGCCAAAGAGTAGGAGGTGCCATTACTTGGAGACAGTAGAGGCCTAAGCAACCTATGTTGTTCTGTGAGGTTTTTGATGTTTGGGGTATTGATTTCATGGGCCCTTTCCCTGTTTCTTTTGGTTTATCTTGTATATTGTTTGTTGTTGATTATGTTTCCAAGTGGGTGGAGGCTAAGGCCACCAGGACTAATGATGCTCGGGTTGTTGTAGATTTTGTTAGATCTCATATTTTTTGCAGGTTTGGCATACCCAGAGCTATTGTTAGTGACCAAGGTACTCATTTTTGCAATAGATCCATGCAAGCTGTGCTCTAGAAGTATGAGGTCATCCATAGAGTTTCTACTCCTTATCACCCCCAAACTAATGGGCAAGCTGAGGTTTCAAATAGAGAGATTAAGAGGATCTTGGAGAAGATGGAGCAACCTAATAGGAAGGATTAGAGCCGTAGACTTGAGGATGCGCTTTGGGCATATAGGACAGCCTACAAGTCACCTATAAGGATGTCTCCCTATCGGGTTGTTTTTGGCAAGGCATGTCACCTACCAGTTGAGATAGAGCACCGTGCATATTGGGTTGTGAAGACTTGTAACTTAGCTCTTGACCAAGCTAGAGAGGAAAGGAAGCTCCAGCTGAATGAGCTTTATGAAATTCGCTTAGAATCCTATGAGAACTCTAAGTTCTACAAAGTAAAGACTAAGAGATTCCATGACAACTTGATAACTAGGAAGGAGTTTCTTGTTGGGCAGAAAATGCTACTATTTAACTCTAGACTTAAGCTCATGGCTGGTAAACCCCGTTCTAAGTGGATTGGTCCCTTTTCAGTCACTAATGTTTTTCCTTATGGTGTTATAGAAATCAGGAGTGAATCCTCCGATAAGAGCTTCAAGGTGAATGGTCATTGCCTCAAGCATTTTCATGAGATTCCTTCACTTGTGGTTGTCACTATGGAGGAGTGCACACTAGAGGAGCCCACTATTGACCCACCATGATTAAGGAGTTTCTTCTTCCCTCTTCTACTCTTTTGTCTTACATGTCATATTTGGTTGATTGTGATGATTTTGCTTTCATTGAGGACAATGTTTGATTTAAGTGTTGGGGAGTGGTTTAGGAGTAGGATTTCCTTTTCAAATAAATGGTTTTCTTTTTCATTAAATTGTTGGATTTGTATGAGTTGTTAGACACTTTCTTGCTAATTTGTGGATTGAATATTTGTGAACTCTCTTGTTATGTCAAGTTGGTTTTGATGAGTAAGAGGTTGGATTGATTGTGACACCTACCCTTGGTGAGATTATGAGCCTTGATTTGGATAGATAATTGTTATCTCTTATGTGATTTCACTCATGATGCTTGCACTCTAGAACTTGGCTTGACTCTTTTTGACACAACTTGATCCACATGCATGTATTGAAGTGATTTAGGCAATTGATTTCTATTAGCCACTAGCCAAATGAGCCTACCTTGAATTCATCCCATTTGATGGCCCCTTTGAGCCAATGTATCCTTTTTCATTGTTTTATAGCTCATTACAAGCCCTTAGCCTGAAAAACCATAATGATTGTCCCTACCTTAGGAAATTTTGGAGCTTTGGAATTGTTTTGGGAATGGGTGCTTAAATAACTGTGGGGGTGTGCCTTTTGTGTTGGTTCTTGGTAAGTTTATGAATTGTGAGTGACTATTCATCATGGTTCATTATAACATGGGTGCATATGGTCTGTCTCTGGACTTTTTTGTTTATTATTAAAAAAAAAGTAAAAAAAATAAAAAAAACGAAAAGAAAATATAGCAGCAACAACAACAAATAATAAGAAGTTGGAGTTGGATTGGGCATTTTGAGAGGATTGGAATTTGAAATTAGAATGGAAGTTTGGGGTTTGCCTTCATGCTTATTTTGACTTATTCCCCATTGCTCCTCTATTTTCTTAGGTTCTTTAGCTACTTATCCATATATTCCATACCTTGTCCCCAACCCCATTACAACCTTTAAAAGTCCTTTTGATCTTTATATGCATGTGTGTTGGGCGGGGATATTAGAGGCTTTCCAAGCCTATGTTAGTGTTTGTTTTCATGAAGTGCTTTGAGTGTAAACACTAGCCTATACACTTGAGAGTGCTATGAGTGTATTTTGTGAGATATTATCACCTTTGATTAACCTCTTGGCTGATTGACTTCCTTGCATACTTGAGATGATTTTTGGTTATTTCCATGGGTATCTTGATTTTGTCCACTACTTGACATCTCCTTGAATTCATTGAACAATAGGCCATATGTGTTTGTTCTTTTGTTTTATTTCTTCCTTTTTGTTTTTCCCTTCTTTTCGTTTATGTTCTTTTCTTTTCTTTTCTTTTTGAGTCTGTCTTATTGGGTGTGTTCCTTAAGATTGATTTTTCCCAGGAGTGCAAAAGGTTAAGTGTGTGGGAATTTGATAAATCATAATTTTCGTGCATTTCTTATCTTTGCAATCTCCTATTAAATATTATTAGTGTCTAATTGTTTTCTCTTGCCATATTTTATTGTTTTGAGGTTTATTGGGCTATTAATCTAGAATTCCATTTAATTGGATTTATTAGCCTAATTAATTTCATAATCATTTTTTGCAGAGAACTTGGAAGCACTTATTGGACTAGGAGCCTTGCCACATGGACCTGCCACGTGGACCACCTTCAGCATAGTTTTTATTTTAGTTTTCTATTTCGTATTTTGGTGTGTAATAGGCAACTGGGTCAGCCCAATAGTTGGACCTGAATTCAAAAATACCTAGGTCAAAAACACCATTTTTTGGACAACATTTTGTGCTTGTTTTTGCTATAGCTTATTTTCTGTAGTTCTTCTTCTTCTTATTTTTTGTTTTTCTTCTTCTTGGTCTTCCTCCATGGAAGGCTAGATTGTAATACTCTCTAACTCGGTTAAATGCATTCATTGAGGTTTATTCATTCCTGGTGTTCTTACGTTTTTAATCCTTATGAATTTGTTGTGTTGGTCTTGTTTCCATGTTTGATGGTTTTGTTTTCACTTAAGTGGTTCACCTTGCTTTACTCATGGTTTGCTTAATCTTATGAGTAGACATGCATGTTAATGCTTCGTTTGTACGTATGGGTTCAATGATGGTAATGACGCTTAGTGGTTACTCGGATTGAATAGAGGGTTAAATCAATGAGAAAATATTTCGAACCAAGGATATGATGCTACAACTGAGTTGGAGAGTCACTTTTCCATTGCTTACTGTTCATTATTTACTGTTTCATTCATTTGAATCTGAAACCCCCTATAGTGTGTGTATTCGTGTCTGCAAAAGAACCTCGGACTGGCTTGTTGCTCCTTGAGAGACGACCTAAGAGTCACTTCTTAGTACTACAAATTTCATATTAAATTTGATCGGGTACGGCACGGGTAAATGCTTTAAAGTTATTATATAAAAAAGATATGATGAGAGATCTCCCATTCCTAAAGGAGAATAGAGAAGCTTGTGAAGGATGTCTCCTTGGCAAGCAACACCGACTACCATTTTCAATAGGCAAAGCATGAAGAGCAAAGGACTAGTTGGAGTTGATCCATACAGATATATGTGGACCAATATGGACATCGTCACTCCAAAAAAACAGGTATTTCATTCTCTTCATAGATGATTTTTCTATAATGACTTGGGTCTACTTCATAAAAGCAAAATCATAACTCTCTGGTATTTTCAAGAAGTTTAAGACCCTTGTTGAAAAGAAAAATGGAAAACAAATAAAAGTACTTAGAAGTGATCGTGGCATAGAATACACTTCCCGTGAGTTTAATAAATTCTGCAAAGATGAAGGCACTGAGCGACAACTTACAG